TGAGCATTCTCAGTGCTTAAAGTCTGCATGAGATATCTGGTCATCGAAGGGCGGTCTGCACGATCGGACGGCAGGGTCGCATTCTTCTAATAGGTTTTGTGACGACCTACGTCAAAAGAACCCGGTCTAGTTGGCTCTCTGAGGAGGCTCGAGCCTAGACTCTAGAGCCAGCTCAATTGCGTGAAAGATGCAATTTCCAAACCAAGCAGGAGCACTGAACCTGGATTGAGCATTGAGAATTGCCGTTGTGCTGGTCGAGCACCTGCATATTGACCTCCCTACTTTGCAGCGGGCCTTGTGACCGTCAGTTAGTCGTAGTCCACGATACGTTAAGATTGGCTGCAGGCGGGGTTTGGAACATGCAAATGCACATTGGCAGCTCAACTTGCAAAATCGCTGATGTTTCCAAGGTGAGTTGCTGGGGTCAGGCAAGCTGCCCGCAATGCCTTTTTATGTGTACGCAAGTTTCACATGGTGTCGCTGCTCGCTGATGACAAACACAGTTTGAGACATGCAGTAAAGCAATTTATTTTCAAGCAGAGCCCCAACAATGATCAAACAATCTTCAAGCATATGAAGTCAGGATTGATCAGCAGTGCTGTAACACATCAGGAATCGATCACATTTCAGCTAGAAATGACTGTCAGGAAGCCGCACAAACGATCTGAAGGCGCACATTCAGTCTATTGGTCGGACCACCTTCAATTTCGAGTATTCAAGTACCGGTATGAGCAATTCAAGGACCTTAAAATGCTCCATTTCTGCCCTGACCAGTAGCTCAGGGAATGAGGTCGAAACAGGTTGGCACTCCCTTTTGTCTTGCAGATACATCTGGTCACCATGCTCAGACAATGCTAGATCTCGGTCGCCCTGACCCTAGCTCCTCCTCTTCTCTTCCACCCAAACCTTCCCCCGGACAAATCCACCGTCAGAAGAGTCTCAGGCGAACTGCATCGATAGGCAGTGCGGTGCGCACTTCTCTGCGCCCCTTTGGTTGGCTTCTTGCTGGGTGGCTGATCTCCACAATCATCAGTCTGGTCTCGCACCCCGCCTGCTACTTAACAGTGAAAGAGAGCAAGCCCCTAGTGTTGCCTGCAATGGATGTGCGGCCACGGTTCGTGTTGTTTGGCGACTCCCTCAGCCAACGTGCATTTGAGCCGGGGGGTTGGGGGGCTGCACTACAGGACAGATATGCACGAAAGGTGAGGCTGCAGGAAAAGGCTCCTCCTTTTCTTCTGGAGACTGCAAGGTTAAGTCTCTGCTCAGGATCAGAGTAGTTCGCAAGCCCTTACAATGACAAAGAAGGGCTTGATGCTGACATGATCATCCTTTGCTGGAACTTTAATGAAATCAGTATCGTCTTAATTATGAAGGCTGGCGGATACTCTCTGTGTCCTACTTTTAATCCTTGGCTCGTGAAAAACTTTTTTCTTCAGGCGGACGTTGTGAACAGAGGTTACAGCGGTTATAACACTCGGTGGGCCTCTTATGTGCTTCCGAAGGTCTTCCCCCTGGTAAGATTCTGGCCCTTCTGGGACGTTTGTTTTGGCAGAGGAGGCAAACAGCCAAGCACCTGATTTAAGAGTTTTAGTTGGGAAAGCCAAGTCCACAGTGTCATAGCTAGAACGCAATTCTTCTGCACATGGGGAGCACTACCATGACACTTGTGCCTAAGTAACCCAAACACTGCTGATTGACTCGGCAGATTAATAGGAGAAATGATCAGTCAATCGATCACTCGTCAGCACTGTGCTCAGAGCGCTTGTGTTGACCCTCCAGGTGTCCTCCATTCCCTCCCCCGCTTTGGTCACCATCTTTTTCGGCACCAACGATGCGGCTCTGGCTGATCAAGACAAGGCCAAGTATCATGTCCCGCTCGATGAATACAAGCACAATATCCTCCTTATGATCAGGCATGTTCAAGTGAGTCGTCTGAACTCTCTCTACATTATAAGACTTTGAGCGCCATAGCTTATTGCTGCTGCAGGATAGCAGCCTGCCGGCCCCTGCGCTCGTGACCATCTTCTTTGGCGCGAACGATGCAGCGCTGCCAGACAAGCTCAGTGCCAGCCAGCATGTACCTATTCCTGAGTACAAGCATCGCCTGTCTGAGTTTGTGCAGCATTTAACCGTAAGTACAGCGTGTCTGTTTCGCAGGATGATCATGTCAGGCTTTCCTGGGTCCTTTTGAGCTTGCGGTGGTCCTGAGCGGTCTTATCTCCATGCAGTAGAATTGTTGATGGTCCCCTCGGCTAAACCTCAAAACACTTTTCGAGGTAGTGACTGTAAAACACAGAAAGAAGCCGCCTATGGTCATCATGTAGGCCAGTCGGAAGCAGGCGCACAGCTAATGATTGGAGTGGCTGAGGAACAGGACAGATCACTGTCGCTATCATTTACTTCCGCCATGAAAGAAAGGACGACCCAGAGTCGTCTTCTCTGAGCGGTTTTGGTTAGTCTAATTCGAACTTCCCCGGAATCTATCCCAACGCAGTTGAGTTGGCCTTGGCTGGTTAGCTCTGGCAACTGTGAATTTGTCTTGTAAGAATCCGACGGTCGCAACTGACTGTTGGCCTTCATATCCGTGTGAGGGTTGTGTTGTCCCTTTTCAAAGGAGAGTTGACTGACAGTAAAATCCGCTCTGCAGCAACTTTCCAAGAAAACACGAGTCGTCCTTATAGCGCCGCCTCCAGTGGACATTCCAGGAAGGAAACGCTACGCAACGTATGCACCCTGTCTCAGACTCTCTCTCACAGAAATGTCCAGATCCGTAAACTACCTGACAACGAGGATTTAAGGAGCACAGATAAGATTGTGCCTCGAATATTCTAAACGGACCTTTTTTCCTTGCCCCATATGATGAGATAAGGTTTCGGCTGGCATCTGATACTTATAGCCGTTCCCGCAAGGTGGCAAAGGGTATTGCGGAGTGCAACATTTGGGACCGAGTCTGAGCGATAAGCAAGATGCTTGAGGTGTGGAACTGTTGAGCAGTCACAAAAAGCAGGAGCGTCGACTGCGACGGCGGGGACTGAGAAGCTGTTCTTTTTGGAAGTCGTTGCTCGAAGCTCTTCGCATTCATGTCTTCTCAATGTCTCTAGTATCTCCCGTATCGGTCTGGGTTCAGGGTTCACGCACGGGTCAGGTTTTCAGGACTCGTCGAACGCACATACAATGTATGAATCGAAGGCGATCACAACGATCTAAATCGAAGGCAGTTACAACGATCTGAATCCAAGGCAATTATAACGATCTGAATCGAAGGCACGTACAACGATCTAAAACAGCGGAACACATCTTATTCCCAACGCCCAAGCACAACCTGAGTCGAGAGCGAAGCTTACAGAGTCCATTTGCAACCCCTCAGGGAAGCGTATGGCGCCGGAGACGAGTGGGAGCCGGAACGCACCAACGAGCACACGGGTTTATATGCGGCCGCCTGCCGGGAGGTGGGGGAAGCGACCGGGGTCTCCATTGTGGACCTTTGGACCATCTTCCAGCAAGACGACAACTGGGCGGAGTATCTCAAGTGAGTTGGACGACGAGTCGCCCGAGCAACTGGCCCCGAAAGGTGCCAACCTCTGTGTGCATCGGTTCGATTCCCTGGCTTTTACAAACGTTGAAAGAGTGCAAGAGGTAGTTGAGAGGCGTGTCTCGCGGCCGCCCTTTTAGCAAGTTCTGGAATATCGAGATTGTATCAGAATGCCGTTTTCTGTTGTGTGCGCAGTGACGGCCTTCACTTCACGGAGAAGGGCAGCGCCGTCGTCTTCAAGCATGTTTTGGCCGCAATTGAGAAGCTGCCAGGGCAGCCTTCTCTGGCCTTCGACGACTTGCCATGGGATTATCCAATCCATTCGGATGTTGACCACAAGGACCCCAAGCGTACGTTTGAAGAGTGGGAAGCAAGGAAGACGGGTGTATAATAATCGCTAATCTTCCTTGATCACGGGATTGCTATCCTAGATGAAGCGGTTACTACTGCGCTTACCAACAGCACAACATGATGATCTATTAAGATTTCGACATGCCATCCGATAAGTAGATGCCACAGCTCGAACGGTCTAACCTGTCCGGGCTCCAAATCTTGCATCAGGTTTGCGTTGGTTGCCGGATTATGAGTAGAGACTCAGAAGCATGTTCGAGGTCGGGCCTACCAGGATAATGATCCGGTAGAACTGCATCAAAAGACATTGGTCCAATCGCATGGATGCACGGTTAATCACGTTCAATGTGCACCACGTACGCATCTAGCTTATATGGAATCACCATGCGCAAGGTGGTGCTTGATAAACTGCAAGTGACTCGACCGCGTCGACAAGTCTTTGCATTTGTATGGGTTCGTTTGTCCACAACACGGGGGGCGATCATATCTTGTTCTGCCGAGATCGTACGCGGTGACCTCCAAGATCTTCATAAATGAGTTGATAATTAAGGTGGCGCATGCGAGCCTCACGAAGTATCTACATTATCTGCGATCGCCGGCGACCGCAAAGGCCTTATGTGAAGCGAGGTCGACGACGATCTGCCAGGACCTTTTTAACGATTGCGAAGCTAGGCTGTCGAAGTCGAGGCGCGTCCTATGAGCCACAGTGGTGCAAAAAGGACAAAGAAAGCCAGATAATTTTGATTTGATCGAATCTCAAAATTTGAGGAGATTTTCACACCTTAAGTCTGCATTAAAATTGATTGATATAGAGACATTGTTAATTAAGCTTCACAGATTCGGGGGGTGAAAATCGTCGGTAAAATAGAGGCCGACTCCGCATGCTCCTGTAGGATTTCATTCGCGCGTTCACTTTGTTTTTGCCGTGCAGCATCATGACCAAATCATGCTATTATGGTCATGCTACTCTTACAATTCCATCTGCGAGGGCTTTGCTTATATGCAGCATTCTGTAATAAAAGATACAAAAGAAGACGATTGAGAACCTGAATACATATGCTGCTGCAATAATCTGCAGACTGACGCCTGTAGTCAGCTTAGTAAAGTCTCATTTAAAAGCTCACTAGGTGCGCATATAAAGTTTTTCGCTCACGACTTCGACAACAAACTCAGCTTCTTTTTAGAGTGAGGTAACCAGCCACTGGCAAGCGTAATCACTTCTCGCTCTCCTTTTCACGCTCACGCCACGTGGGTACTGTTACCACCATCGCGGCCGCGCAATAAATTGGGTCAACCCGTGCTTCATTTCCATAGTATACATTGAACTTCCCGACCTCCCAGAAGCGCGCCTCGGGGACGCACCAATGAATGTCTCTTTGGCGCTCGCTAGTCATTGTTAGAAGTTGAACTCTATGATGGCTAGATTGCACTCAGCTCGGTTAGTCAGAGGTCAGATATAACCAGAAGTATAACCTCGATAACTGAGTGATACTTTATCGACGGCTTAGATTCAGTGATGGTTTAGGCAGTGCTGAGTCGGACTGATTCAGATAAGAGAC